TCTATCTATCTCTATCTATCTCTATCTATCTCTATCTATCTCTATCTATCTCTATCTATCTCTCTATCTATCTATCTATCTATCGATGGATCGATCGATCGATCTATAGAACTTATAGAACGATCTATCGATCTATCTATCGATCTATCGATCTATCTGTCTATCTATCGCCATCCATCCATCCATCTATCTATCCCACCGAACTTCCCCCCCACCGACAAGCAGGCTTCCTTTCGCCCATGGAACTACGCCCCATGGAACTATGCCCCCCCAACTGTGCCAGAAGTGCGTGGAAACGCAACCCCGAATGCTGAAAGCAGGACAACTCTTAACACCAAGGGTTGCAAAACACCATGTAAACGCAAGTCACCACAACATCTTGCACCGTGTAAGCGAAACATTTACTTGTCACGCAGAAAGACGATCGCCTGATCAAAAGCAGCGTGGAACTGCAACGCTCAAACGTATGAACTGTTCCTTCCGTCAGAAGTCTTACTTCTTGTGAACCTCCTGGAACCGCTCGGCCCTGTTGGCCTGCCAAGCCCGCAGCCAAGCATTCTTGCCAGCCGTCGACTTGAGCATGTTCTTTTGGATCACGCTCTTTTTGATGTCTTTCCACAAGGTGTGCTTCTTCGAACCTTGAGCCTTCAGGGTCCCACATAGAACTTAGCCACTTTGACAATGTCCTTGCGTCTTTTTTGTCTGTGCTCGGTCAAGTAACGCTCTTCCTTTCACACGCCGTCCAACTCATCAGTCAGGTCCTTCACATCACATTGACCTTCTGCAACTGCCACAGGTGGTTCTGCACTAGTCGCAGACGCTTCTGCGCTTTCAGGATTTTATTTTTCTTGCGAAGCGTCGTCATCAAATCATCCAGGGTGCTTCCGCAGGAGTGACATCTTTTGGGGTCAGCTGGTGCTCCCTTCTTTTGCCAACCTTGATGCCCGGACTGCAATGGTTGCTGTCAAACTTCTCAAACTTCTCATTTTTCCACCACAGTGTGGGCAATTTTTCCCGCCAGCTGTCCGCTTGCGCTTTCAAGACAAAACGCAAGCCAAGCCAACAGCCAAACTAGGCCAAGCCAAATCAACCCGCAACCAGCCAAGAACCCACAATGCCAGGCATCCACATCTGTCAGCAGTTGCCGGCCACCTTCAGGGCCTCAAACCCAGCTTACAGGGACCTAATGAGACCTATCAGCCAAGCCAAGCTAAGAAACACGTAGCGCAAACTAGAATGCGTGTCAAGCATCCGTCTGAGAGGAACATGGAGAACTAACCGGAGCGTTTACACTTCACAGGAGTGCGTGGAACCATGGATCAAGTTAATGAGGAAAGGCAAGTGTGTTTGAAGCTAGAAACTGCAAGAAGAATCATTCCAGCACAAGAAGCACAAGCTAAATGAAGCAACAGCAAATATTAAACCACAATGGCTGATGTCTTCCAACTGCTAAACACCAGCTGAGCGCAAGTTGATGCGAGTTACTCCTCTAGCTCACCCCAAGCTGAACGCAAGATTTTGGATGAGTTGGGCAAGTTCAGGGTCTATCTATTTATCTGTCTTTATCTATCCATCTATCTATCTATCTATTTATCTCTTATTGCTTTTGCAAAATCATTGACAGCTCAATTCCAATGGCACCAAATCCCCTTAAACCATACGATCACCTAGAACGTAGGCATTTTCGCACGCATCACGGTTGATCGGCGCAGCGTCACCTGACTGCAAACTGTCGCACAGTGATCCATACTGTCGCAGTTGAACTTGTCGCTGCGAAGACCTCAATCGATTTCGCAGAGCGTCCGTGACACAGCGCAGTGGCCTGGCACCAACCCGACGCTATTCGTATGGGGTTGCAAACTGCCAAGAGGCAATTGTCCTTCCAGCACCCTTCCTGCAAGGAACTGGGAGTTCCCTAAAAAGCTGATTCAGACTCATATGAAGTGAACTAACATTCTGAACTAATTACGCCAGCATAGCATAGACGCCACATAGCGTTGGAATCATGGCCTTCAAGCTATCGCGGCCCTGTTCACTCGCCTTTCACACACTCTTGAAAACAGCACATGGACCAACAAAAACATGTACGAGATACTAAAAACAAGCGAACGCTGCAGCAGCACCCAAGCCCGCAACCGCACACAGTTCCCAAGCTCCCAAGCGCCCAAGTGCACCGTGCAGGGTCACCAGCACCTAAGCTCCCAAGCGCACACAGCAGCAGCACCCTGCAGCGGCCCCAGCACCCAAGCTCCCCAGCGCACACAGCAACGGCGCCCTGCAGCGGCAACGGCGCCCTGCAGCGGCAACGGCGCCCAAGCTCCCAAGCGCACACAGCAGTGGCACCCTGCAGCGGCGCCAACAGTCAGGCTCGAAGGCGCACACGCAGCTATTCCTTTTCTTGAAGTAAGAACCCCAATAGCTCAGTGAGAAAATGTCGTACAGAACGTTTGAATGAATTTCTTTCGTCCAATGGTCCGGACGGCCCAGCCTTGGCTCCGAAGGGCGTGAGGTCCTAGACCATCGAGTCAGGGAGAAAGAGGGTGAATGCCCAGGATAGTTCGTGACCTCTTTGGAGTTTGGAACTCAGAGAAAGTTTGTCTGTCTGTGACCTTTTACAGGCCAAATTCAGTGACCTTATCCTGGGATCTCAAGTATTTTGAATCTCCTGGAATTTGCCCCTGTGCTGACAGCCGTGCCAAGTGATGCTAGAGAAACACTCCTCAAACACTGCGGCATCGATGTCGTAGCCGTTGACCACAACGTTCCGCCTGGGAACGACTTCCATGAAGCCAGCGAGAGCATGCGAAAGCACAAGCAGAAGTCTGGATAGACATTCGGATTGGGGTGACAATGACATGAACATGACTCCCAATTATATATTATATGATGCTTTATGTGCATGCTCTGCTCACAAAAAAATAAAGAGGTGGAACAAAAATAAGGAATGCCCTGAAGATCCTATAGAATCCTAGGCATGATTGTCTCTCAGTGGTGGAGGGACACAATGATCAGGAGCCCAAGGAGCCTGCCTGACACAAGATGGCCAAGAGAGGACTTTGTCCTGTCCGATTGCGATCACTTCAAATCTGTTTAAGGCAGCATAAAGTTCGGTCATGAAACCTCAGGCTAAACTTGTAGGCTTCCTTAGGACCTCTCCAACGTGGGGACCAGGCGCCCTTCTTGAAAAAGAAGAATGGCACGTGAATCGGCATGTACGGCAAAAAGTAGAGGCGAAAGATGAAAAAGCGCAAGACATTAGACATATATATGTATACCTGGAACCCCAAACAACCAGAAACACATATATTAATATAAATCCAAAACAAACATCACAAAAAAAGGCAACATATTCCTCGATTCCTTGTCTGAAAGGTCCGAAAAAATCTCAAGTCATCAACCTGTCTCGTGCATGCTCCCGCTCCTTCTGCCTGGACCTTGCTAAGAGAATTGCATGTGTCACAAAAAAAAGGCTCATGTCCGGCAAAAAGTGCGAAGTCTTGCTCTAAACTCTAAACCCAGCACTTAGGTACAATACACCCAAACCCAGTGCCAGCTGAAAAAAAGCAAGTCTGTCACTCAGCCATATTCTGTTCAAGAGCGTTTACTGCATCCCCTTTCCTCAGCTCCGGGCGATTCGCCCTCAAATTCCTCGTCGTCCCAATCATCAAAGTCCAGTGACAAGGGTGAACCCAAGGGCTTCAGGTTCAGAGGCTTGAAGGTGATGTTTTGCCTCGGAGCACGCAGAAGAGTCATCCCAGATGACACCTCATCTAGCCGATTTTTCTTGCCCAATGTCACGGAATCTTTATACCTCCGCTGGGATCATTCGGAATCTTCAAGAAGACAGCAGAACTCCAAGAAAGAAGCTTTACGATATATCTCCAGGTCACAGATTCAAGCTGAGATTCAGTTTTAAGGGCGCAGTGATTCGCGCCTGTGGAAAGCACTGTGATTTCTCAGTCTTTGTTGCGAAAAGCATACATATAGTCGTTAAAGATCACACCGTCCAGCTGCACAAGCCATTCATCTGCTGCAATCTACTGTAAGTCTAGTCTCTAACTGAACCTCGCTGAACCCATAGTCTTTCCCCAGTCTTTCGCCTCGTTGCCGGACGGGGTCATACTTCCAATCCTCTTGAAGTTATTCAAATAATCATCAGAGCTGTAGTCCTAAAGCAAAGCCAACTGAGAGGCAATGTCTCAAAGGCAATGAACCACATGAAGTTCGTGACATGAAGCTATCTTCTTTTGATGAGCTTGCTATACTGCGAGAAATCATGGAAGGATGTTCTCAAGCGGCAACCGAGTCCTTGATGTGGGCAATCTGTGGCGGCTGGTACCTTCAAACCACGAGCATGTCTGACATGTCTTGGGCTATAAAATTGCTAAAACATCTCCACAGGGCTGCTCTTGCTGCAAAGGCACGCAGATTTGGCGGTACCATCTTGCTGGCACTGCTTGATGCTTTCCTTTTGATGCCAACAAAATCAACTGGTCAAAGGCTCAATAGTTCTCAATGCGTTTGTTGTTCCAACTCTTCTTGCCAAAAGAAAATTGAGTCTGCTTGTTGTGTTGCTGTTATCAAAAATGTTGGCCAATAGTTCAGCTGTCCGAGTGTCAATACGGGGGAGCGCCCACCGTTTCATGCGATATGCCTCAAAGTCAGTCCCATCAAGATGGCGGAGCTGAACAAACTGTGCAACAGACTGAGCGTTCTGTTAAGAGCAGCTGATCTTCTACAAACTCCGGGAACTGCCATGCTGCATAGAGAACATCGGAGCAGGTATTGCAGCATTCACCATCAGGCAATGCTCCATAGCAGTCCTTCATTCAATGGTGTCGGAGGTGACTTCACCCAATGGTCGCCCCCGGTGAAAAAAACGGGGCACTATCTTGCACATGCATTCAAAAAGCAACGATAAACTCTGACGAAGTATGATAAAACATGATAAAACAAAACCATGCAAAACTGAGATTCTCCACAGGTGGCATTCCCAGTGCCATTCCGAATGCTTGGGTTTGACCTTGGATCGGACCACGGTACATAGATTCTTTGAGGGGTCAAGCAAGTCAATTCGATGAGACTCTGCGACATCATGGGCCAACGTGGATGGCATGGCGCTGATTTCGCTCTGAAGACCAAACAACTTATTCTCGGAACTGATTAGCCCACTCTAGATGGCGCTGAACTCACTCTACACTGAGCTAAACTTATTCTTCTGATGGCGCTGAACTCACTCTACACTTCCACCATGATGTTTGTCCTTCGCTTCACGTCACCGTCAAAAAGCCTTCCGGTGCCTCCGCCGAGCAACGCTTGGTTTCGACTTGCCACCTTTGGATCCTTGCGGAACCCGACAGATTCACGCGGGCACGGCCGACGGAACGCGCTTCACGCGCTTCACGCGAGCGACGGGAGTCCCCTTCCACCGCGGTTTGTGGGATTGAAAGCATGGGGAGGCGGACAACGTGGAAAAACGACGGTCTTTTTGGATCTTTTTGGGAAACTGCGTGAAGCATGGAGAAACTCGGAAAAGGATTTGGAAAAAGCTGTGCAGCTCACATGCCTTGCTTGCCACGAGTCGTTTTTGAGAACTTCGCCCACAGGGGTGCCATCGGCTTTCAGTCTTTGCTTCGACACTCCCGTGCGGATATCCGTCTGGCGGTTTCCCATCGCCTCAATTTCCACTGGCAGGTCGATTTCCGAGGCAAAAACAGCTGAAAAACGAGGCAAAAACGCTCGTTTCTTCGCAGACGGAGAAACATCCTGGTAGTCCAGGCTCAAATCGATGCAAGGGAAATCGTGGATGGTCACATCCAAGAGTACTCGCACCTGCCTGTCAGGCACTGCCAAGAGTTAGTGACTGCGGTTTTGCGTTTCACTGGAAACATTTATCTGTCATACTTCTTGGCAACTACATGCATGAATGTCATGAGAAATTCTGAGAAATCATGAGAAATCCTGGTTCGCTTGCGAGTGCATTTTGCAACGACTCCTCGCAACTTCCATGGATGGTGACATCACGATTCGAACAAACCGTGCCTGAAATTTTCAATCTGGAACATGCGCGGCATGTCCTTGGGAGGTGGTATTCACAGTGATTTGAACTGCCCAAAGACAGCAGCAGATCAATTCACTCCCTGAAATCATCATGGTTACGTGGATGACATGGCCCCGTAAGGTTACACCGTTTTAACCATTGTCCGACTCCGAATAGAATATATATATATATATCCATATATATCCCGGTTGTTTTTCACTCCACTTCCACCATGATGAAGATTGCAGGGAGTGCATGATCGACCAAGACATCAGCGTCCAAGGTGCGATGTGGAAGGCTTGTTTGTTGGCTGGTGTCAAATACGTCCAGCATTCTGAAAGAAGCAACACTGTAATCAGAACCTTAGGCTGGTCGAGAAGAAAATGTCAGCTCACTTGAGAAGAGGGACACGTCGAGGGACACGTGTCCGACTTGACAAGCAAAACGAAGCAGCTTCGAAGCATATCTGCGCCAAATACGCCAAGTGAGGTAAGCATGCAGAAATGAAGAGAAACCATCAAAACATGTTTTCCGCAAGAACAGGAAAGGGACGGAAAGCCTGGGGCCCTAGGGCTAAGCTCCGACTCACTAACATGAAAGTGGCACATCATGCCCTTCAAAAGCCACTAAACCGTTTACAAAGCCATGCAGTTCCGCTTGTTAATCCGCTGGGCCACGAGAAAAATGCCCTGTAGCAGCAAAGAAATGGGTCTCGGTGGTGCCTCCCGCTGCTCACGATGCTCTGGCGCCAGCTTCCTGGGGTGGAAGGGGCTGGAAAAGGATCGCAAAAAAAAACAAAAATAACAATTACTTTACTTCAAAATTCCCCACCCTCAAAGAATTGGTCTTCACAAGAGAAAAGCGGTTCGGCGCGAAAAGGATTCTTTATTGAAAACAAAACCATACATCGAATACTTACTTGTGAGGTTTCTGAACTTCGATATTTTAATGCCTGGCAACCCCGCATCCCTGCCAAGTCAACTTGTGGTGGATATGCTGTGGAACTGGTACTTGGGAGCACTCTGGTGAATGTGCTGGTGTAAAGGCTACGCTGGGCTACTCGGGGCCACTCTGGTGGATGTGCTGTGTAAGGGCTACTCTGGGCCACTGTGGGCCACTCTGGTGGATGTGCTGTGTTCTTTGGGTTGCTCTGAGCTACGCTGGGACCACTCTGGTGGATGTGCAGAAGTAGCGAGTCTACTGAAGTCCAAAGTTCTTAAAATCTAACAGCCCCACAGTCCTACGGGTGGGGAAAAAACTGCTTTGATAAGTACATTACAAGTCTACAACTATCCTGCGATCTCTTTGGTAAATGTGCTGTGGAGAAGCTAAGTTGCGCTACTAAAAACTGTGGTTGCTGTGGACAAGCTAAGTTGAACTACTTAGAAAGCAGTTTGTGAATGTGCTGTGGAAGAGCTAGGCAGCTAGGTTTAGCTACTCAGGGATCAGTTTGGTGAATGTGGTGTGAATACTCAGAGGTCATTTTGGTGAATGTGCTGTGGAAGTGCTACGTTGAATTACTCAGGGATTACTTTGGTGAACATGGCGAGCGTGCTGTGAAAGAGCCACTTTGGGCTACTCAGAGATCACCTTGGTGAACGTGCTGTGGAAAAGCTAGCTTGAAAACTCAGGGATCACTCTGGGGAACGTGCTGTGGAAGAGCTACTTTGGGCTACTCCGGGATCTCTTTGGTGAACATGCTGTGGAAGTGCTGCGTTGAACTACTCAGGGATCACTTTGGTGAGTGCGCTATGGAAGAACTGCTTTGGGCTACTCAGGGATTACTTTGGCGAGTGTGGTGTGGAAGAGCTA